ATGTAGGTAAAGATATCGTTGGATGGTAATTTTATTTTTTCTTTAACCATATTCATGTTTATTCTTACATCTCACATCTATACTCTCAAGATAAATTATCGATATAGTTTCTGTTTAACAGAATTTCATATTATTCTACATGTGATAAATGAATAGATTTATTTCTTGCATCATGATTTCGATTATTCAATTACTCATCTATATCAATACCTAAATTCAAATGATATATTAAAATGAATAATTCGCTTTGAAAATAATGTCAACAATAAGGACAAAATAAGATCGGAGCAAAGTATTACATAATATATAAAATAAGGGCAATACTTCAAATAAGAAGGAACCATAAGAACAGGCTAAATATCGTTACAAAGCTAAACTAGAAAAACAATATTCCGATTAGTGAGCATAAAACGGCTACTCTCAAATAGATGTATAAATATGTTAGCAAGTATTCATATATCGAAAAAAAAACATTTTGCACAAATCAGTAAGTATTATCGTTTGTTTCTACAGATCTGAGAATAAATACATAGTTTTATAGTATTATTATAATTATACTTTTGTTTATTTAAATGAAATTGATTATTATTATGAAAAATTTCAATCATAATCATTTATTTATACAAAGAATATTGTCGAATTAAGTTATACTAGTATAGTCAAATATATATATTCTCGAACTTCTACTCACATATCACTCTGTTCTTTTTTCGCCTTCTGATCTTATTCAATATGATATTAACTGCTGATCTCTATCAATCTGAACTGTTCAATATACAAATCAGTGATTCCTAATTACTCATGTTGCTTGATAGATTGAGAATGATTATTTATCATCAAAACTAGAAAGTGTAATAAGGTTTGAAAGATGTTTGCTACAATTACTAAAACTGTTCAAGCATTTTCAGCTGATTGACACAGAATGCTTGTCACTTGAAACTAAATTAATGAAAAAGACATAAATGAAGTGGGCTTAAGTTTCACATTTTTTTAAAATTAATGTTTGATAACAAGAACATTATTGAAATCGAACATGGGATATTAATCAATCGCGTTTTTGTTTTGTTGAACGTCGACAACATCGACGAATCATAAAGAGTAATATTATTCCCGGTAGCATTATATATACGAACAGAAGATCAAGCATGTATCGTTGATAGAATAGTAAAGTACTTTCAAATGATGCAAAACGATCAAGATCACCGTTTAGTTCGACAAAAAACTCAATTTCTTGAACGGCACGTTTAGTACCACCAGCATATTTCATTTCCAATGACATGAGTTTGACAGCATTTTCATGTGTTTCGTTCATCCATAATGCCATCATATTCTTTGTAACACTATCAGATGTAAATGTGTACTGAACGAAATTGTATGGATCTATGAAGGATTGCCAAGCTGAAGGTGGGATAAATAATGATTTACCAACGTTCAGATTTACTACAGTAATTGCATTGGCAAACTGTTCCATATTGAACGGCATACATACAATCGGTTTACTAAAATAAAGTGATTCTAATAAAGAGCCCATACCACAATGACTCAAAAAGATATTGACAGAATCTTGTTGTAGAATCCATTTCTGTTGAACAAAACCTTCTTCAATACGCACTCTGTGCTTGTCATTCAAAACATTTTTCAATTCATCGCTATGTAAATCTTTCAAGACTGCTTGATACGTATTGAAATTTACACTGCGAAGTGCTAACAAAAGAAAAGTATCATTTGTTTGTAAGAGAAAATTTGTTAGTCCAATTATTAAGTTCAACATTCGATTATAAGGAATCAGCGAAGTACTACCAAAAGCTGCGTACAGAATCGATTTTGTTGGTTTAGATTTCACCCATTGATTGAGATCAGTCTCTTCGCCAACAATAAGTGTCTCATCCACAAATGCACCTAAATATTTCGTGTATTGATTTGAATAAGTAGGTACATAAAATCTCATGGGCATACTGATCAGATCTAAACATTTTGCTTTTGAAAATAGTAAATTTCTTATTGTTAAACTGTCGTGAAAAGGACCTGGTACTTGTGGAAGTAACTGAAGAAATAGATTCAGACTCGGTACTATACTCGGTAATAATTTTATTATCATCCGTAAAGTGAAAGCAACATTGTAAAGACGAGATGAAAATCGAGTTAAATCATTTGTTGTTGTCA